AGGAAGAGGAGGAGGAGGAGGAGGAGGAGGAGGAAAAGGAGGAGGAGGAGGACCAGTATCAATCCAAGAGTCATCAAATATGTTGGAGTACCCCCCCCTCCAAGCTCCCTCTTCACAGGCCCCTACAACGGTTCATATTCATTAAGGGAGCTGCCTCGTCGGAAGACACCTGTTTGAAGACCCTGCGGCAAGCTAAAACATTGTTCTCGGGCTTTCAACGTCACGGATCAACCTGACTGTTGCGTTTTGGCGGTCCTGAATTATGCCAGAACGCCTTTCCTAAGACTTCAATGCGGCAGAGCAACGTAACTCTTGATCCCGCGTAATCATGAATCTTTTCAAGCCAACATTTCTGGTACGTTGATGATGGGAACCCGTCAAATTTGTACAGGTTTTTGAAGGTATTTGCGCGGCGCTGAGGCGAGAGCCACATTTTGAAAAGGAACTGCCCTCAATCCGTGAAATCTTTTTGTTGAAACGAAATTGCACTGCGCTAAGGCGAGAGCGACATTTTGAAAACGACTCGCCACCAATCCGTGAAGCGCTTGCAATTTTTTACAACGAATGTGCGCCGCGCTAAGGCGAGAGCCGCATGTTGAAAACCACTCGCACCTACTCCGCGAAACTCTTGCACATTTTCATATCGAATGTGCGCCGCGCGGAGGCGAGAGCCACATATTGAAAACTGCTCGCCCTCAATCCGTGAAGCTCTTGCATTTTTTAACGAATGTGTGCCGCGCTTAGGCGAGAGCCGCATTTTGAAAACGACCGGCCCTCCATCTGTGAACGTGTTACCAATTTTAAAGCTTCAGAGTCAGAAGTGGTGAGGAAGTCTCAGGCGAACCGCCCGGCCCGCCCTTAAGGCTAGCTTCGGGGTGCGACAGGGAGAAGTTATGTATGAGGAAAAAGGAACGGAGGAGGAGGAGAAGGAGGAGGAGCCTGAGGTTGAGGTTGAGGTTGAGGTTGGGGAGGAGGAGGAGGAGGAGAAGGAGGAGGGGGAGGAGGAGGATGCTAAGGCATGGATGCTAAGGGTGCGCCCCCTGGCGCGAGGCCACCTCGAAAGTGCCGCCTGCGGACGAGAGCTGGCGCCGACGCCGCACACCTCTAAGAGGGCCTCCAGGCGGAGCAAGCGCAGTCCCCGAGGAGCCCCTGAGAGGGCCGCCGCTCCTTCCTCCGCCTCTAAGAGGGCCAGCAGGCAGCTGGATCGCATTCCGAGCTCTCGTCCGCGGGCCCGGGCCCTGGTCCCGCCTCGGCGGCTCGCTCCCCAGCGCCGCACGCCGCGCCGAAGGGGACCCCCCCGCCGACCCCCTCGGCACGCCGCTCTCGGCGGCTCGCCGCCTGGCTCGGATGGCCTCGGCCGCCTGCCCCCTGGCGAGCGGCCTCGCGGAGGGCCGCAGGGGGCCTCCCCCCGCTTCCTGGGCAGGGCCCCCTCCTGCTCCTCGGCAGGCTCTCCCTGCCCCTCCTCTGGCCACTCCTGGGCAGGGCCGGCGCAGGCGGCGGGGATCGGCAGCCGCGAAACGGCCACGCGAGTGGCAGAAATGCAGGGGGAGGGACCCCCACCACCCCATGCTGTGCTCCTCCTCCTCCTCCTCCTCCTCCTCCTCCTCCTCCTCCTCCTCCTCCCCCTCCTCCTCCTCCTCCTCCTCCTCCCCCTCCCCCTCCTCCTCTTCCTCCCCCCCCCCATCCGCAACTCCCGGCGGCTGCTCCTCCCTCCTCCTGCTCGCTCGCGGGGCCCTCGCCCCGATCGCGGTCGGCACTGGGGGGGAGGAGGGCGCGCGCAGGGGGGTCGCGCAGCACTCGAGGCGGTCGGCCGCAGGCGAGACCTCGTGGCAGCACCTGCGCTGCCATTCCGGCCCAGTCTGCTGGAGCGAGTGCGACGAACGAGCGATGGCCTGCTGCCGTCTCGACTTCGCCGGCGGGCGAGCGACTCGCGCGGGTCGTTGGGCTCGCTCGGTGTCGGCCTCGGCTGCCAGCTGGGGGGGGCACGCCTGGCTCGCCTCCTGACAAGCGCAGCCGTGGCGTCCCAGCGGTCGCAGTGCGCTGCATCGTGCACGACCCATCCCTCCCAAGCCAGCTCCGCCCCGACTCCCGCCCCCGCATCAGCCGCTGCATTCCCTGCGGCGAGGAAGCGACCGCGGGGGGTGGCCAGCTGTTCCTCGTCTTCCGCATGCGAGGACATCCATTCGATTTCGATCTGTCCTGCTGCCCTTCTCCACAGGGCTTGCCGAATTCTGTGCCACAGGTCCTCGCTTGGGCCCCCGCGCTTTTTTTGGGACCTCAGGGTCCAGGCCGACCTGAGGGCCTGGTGGTCCGTGACAAACAGTCAATCTCCCGAGGTGTTCTCCACGGCCAACGCCAGCGCCAGAGTTTCGGAATTGGGGACGGACCGGATCGGTCCCGACAGCGGCCCAATCTTGGTGGCTCCCGTTTGCCAGCACTGCGAGGCCTCGCACCGTTTGACAGTCGCGATCGCTGCTCCACAGCGTCGCCTCCTTGGATCATCCGAGCGCCGACCCCCCCGACCCGTCTCCCAACGCCGTCACCCAACCGTCTTCCCCTCGATAATCGTCTAGCGCGCCCGCGCCAAAGGACAGCTCAATGCACGCAAGGCCCTCCTCGTCGAACCGGGGGAGAGTGAGGTGGGCAGGGGGAAGGCCTTTGAGCCACAGCGCTGGGTCGGCCTCTAAGCCCGCCAGGGCCTGCCCGACCAGCGCGCTCGACGCCCTGACTTCCTGAAGCTCATCTGTGTTTTTTGGACACTCCCAAATTCGGTGCGCAAGCGTTTCTGGTGCGGACAGGCAGCGCGGACAGGTGGGCGAAACGTCGTACAGTGAGCGGCTTGAATAAGGAACACTTACTTTTCAAAAGGGGCTCGGTCGTTCCTTAGATTTTACGTGCGTTATTCACAGTTCCTTATGCGTTATCTGTTATGTATCGTTCCTGATGCGTTATTCCTTGGGATAAAACAGAGGGGCTTCGTCCCTGATTTCCGTTCCTTAGGTCAGGCCGATGCCTGTAGCCCGCCTCATGCCTGCAAGCCCTCGTCCACTGGCCTCCTCCGACCACTGCTGGCGTTGAGTCGGAGGGCACCAACTATACACCTACACCGATCCAGCCCAGGCCGATCCTAGGCCCAGGATCGGTGTATATGCATTCTGCCCATGGCAGGAGGGCGTATACACCGATCCTGGGCCCAGGTTGATCTGGGCCAGGATCGGTGTTGGTGTATAGTTGGTGCCTTCCTATTGAGGCCCCCAGCCGCTCCCACCTGCTGTGCCTCGCGAGGCGCCGCCTGCTCCCGCGGGACCTGCGACGGGCCAGCGGCCGCTCTCCGGGCCGGCGCGCCCGCCTCGTGGAGGGCCGCCCTCCTCCCGAGCCGGTGCCGGAGGCCCTCCTCGGCGTCGGCCGGCAGCGGCGCGTGGTCGACGAGGCCTCCGCAGTCCGCGCCGCCCCGCGGCGCGAGGTGCCGCGCCGTGCGGTCGTCGCCCGCGGCTCTGGACGCTTGCCTCGTCCAGTTGCCCTTGTGCTCGGGCCTCCTCCTCCTCCTCCTCTTCCTCCTCCTCCTCCTCCTCCTCCCTCCTCCCTCCTCCTCCTCCTCCTCCTCCTCCTCCTCCTCCTCCTCCTCCTCCTCCTCCACGTCGCCGAGGTCGGCTCCCAGCCCATGTCCATGAGTATCGCCTTCGCCGCGCCCAGCGGCCCGCGGACGCGCCTCCACCGGTTGCCCTTGGCCACGGTGAGCGCCGGGCGGACCCGCCCCCGGGCCCTGAGGCTGCGCGGGTGCAGCTCGGGGGCCTTGTCCCACACCGCCAGCCAGGAGTCCAGGGCGCTGAGGCGGAGCCTCATCCTCCTCCTCTTCTCCTCCTCCTCCTCCTCCTCCTCCCGCACTTTGGTCGCCAGGGTGGTGGTGAGGCACCTCCCCCGCGCGCGCCCCGCAGCCGCGGCCGCGGCCTGGCGGCGCAGCTCCTGCGCCTTCCACGGCGCCGGCCCCACGACCTGTGCCCCGCAGGCCGCCTGGGGGAGGGCGCCGCTGGCCCAGAGCCCCTTGGGCTCGAGCGCGAGGGCTGCGTTCCTCCTCGTCCTGGTGATCCTGGCCGCCCCCCGACGGCCCGCCTTGCACCTGGGCCCGCTCTTGCGGCAGACTCGCTGCCCGCCCGCCGCCGTGTCGCAGCCCAGGTCGATCGCTGCAGTGGCGCCCGTGACGGGCATGCACGCCCCCGCCAGCGTGGCGGTCAGGCCCTGGGCCAAGTCCGCGTCAGAGGTCAGCGCGGTGGTCTTCTCCGAGATCGTGAGGCCCCGCTCCCTGACGAAGCCCTCCACGAAGACCGCGCCGACGTCCTTGAGGCCCCGCGTGACCTCGCTCCTGGGCACCTCCATCCTCGCCGTCGTGTCGTCCACGAAGGTCCAGAGGCCGCAGCTCGAGGCCACCTTGTGGGCCCTCTGGAGCACCTGGTGCATGTGCACCTTCGCGAGGCTCGTGCCCCTCGCCGAGCCCGCCATGATTGACCTCCTGGGGTGCACCATGTAGCTGAGCCAGTGGTGGCGGTCTCGCAGCAGCCGAGGGGCCAGGAAGAGCTGGGCCTCGTGCGCGACCACAATCGCTGGAAAACGGACCTCCACCGCCAGCTTCATCAGCATCGCCAGGCTGATGGTGTCGTAGAATGTCTTGAGGTCCAGGAGCAGGGTCCCCGACGGGATGTGGAGCTCCCTACCCACCTCGTCGAGCACCGCCCTGTAGAGGGCCGCCTGCAGAGACGAGCTCCCCTTGATGGCGCCGTCCCAGACGGCGCCTTGCTCCTCCGTCCAGGCCTCGACGGCCGCCCCTCGGGCCTTGCTCCAGGCCTTGGCCAGGAGGGGGATCATCCCCAGGACTCGGTCGCCCTTGACTGGCTTGGGCACCGACGCGGCAAGGACCGTCATGCACTGCCTTGGCCAGCAGCCCGCCACCTCACGCGGCGCATTGACCAGGTCCGCGAGCTCCTGCTGGACTGTCTTGCGGCAGCCTGTCGACGTCGAGCGAGTCGAGGACATCGACTCCCATCGCCTTCCTGCTCCCGATGGCGCGCGCCGCAGCCTCCGGCTCCTCGGTCTGCAGCGGCGGCAGCGCCTCCTGCCTGGCGATCTCAAGCGTCCGCTGGAGCTGCTTCTGCAGACGCTGGAGGTTGGCCCCTGAGTCCTGCCGGAGGCTGCCCCACTTCTCCGCGCGCCTATCCATGATGCTGATGGGCTGCGCCGCCGAGGCCATGCCGCCCGCCGCCTGCCCGACCGGCTCGTCGGCCGCGGGCCTGTCGGGCCTGGCCGTGTCGTGGAGGAGCCCAGCCCGTTCCTTCCATGCTCTCTTGGCCCAGCCGACGTGGGCCCTGCGGCCCTCGCTGATGGCTCGGGCCTGCCCCCTCGCCGCCAGCGTCCTGGTGGCCTCCAGCAGCTGGTCCCTCTTGGGCGCACTGATGCTGCCCAGCTTCTTTGGCGCTCTTGCACCAGCCCTCGATCGGGCCACCGTCTCCGAAGCACCGCAGCAGGCCCTCGCTCTGCATGGCCTGAACGTTCCTGGCGACCTGGGCCGCCACCCGCTTCCTCTCTCCTGCGTGTGCTGGCGGCTGCTCATGAGGCATTTGTACTACAGATTCCATAACAGAGTGGGGGGGGGTCACATTCGGGGGGGGGGCTAATTTGAACTGTCTTGGAGGGTTCGGGGGGGTCTGGGCAAAGGGCCGCCCTTTCATGGATGGTCTGGGGGGTCTAAAGCTTCTCGTCTGGGAGGGTGGAGACCCCCATCCTTTTCTTACGAAATCTGGAGTACCGTTGGATGAGCGTCTCGCACACGTTCATCAGCTCCGCCCTGTGGCTGTGCATGTGCGCTCGCCCTGGCGTCGAGCGCAACCTCGCCCAGGTGACGCCGCAGCCGCGGTCAGCGCCCCCCTGTAGCGGTGCCGCTCGCTCTCCTCGACGCCGCGGTGGTCAAGGATGGCCCCTTTCGACCTTGCCCACCCAGCCGGCGCAGCAGCGCGGGAGGTGCTTCTCCTGCTCGGCCGCGCCCTGGACCTGGTAGGCCAGGTGGTCGCCCAACTTCTCAGTTTCGCCGAGGTACCCCTCCATGGCAGTCCCGCGGCAGTCTCCCCAGCTCTCCTCCGAGACGGCGAAGGTGCACTGTCGGGGGCGGAAAAGAGGGGGGTGATGACTAGGGGGGGGTGGATATCATGGCGTGGGCCATGATATCTCCCCAGATTTCGCGGCGCCTCTTCTTATTTCAGTGCGTCATGGCCCCCCCGCGGGGCCGCGCACATGCCGCCGGTCATGATTTGCGCCCCCCCCTCTTGGACACCCCCCTCTTGGCCGCTCCCGACACTGCGGCGCGACCCTGGGATGACGAGGCCCCTCTGATCGGTGTCCCGTCTCGGTTTTCGAGCGATTCGGACTGAGCCCCGTTTAAACCTGCCAGGGGTGTCTCGCTCTGTCAGGCTTAGATCATTCCTGAGACATTGCCGTGGACGGCAAAAAAAAAGCTCTGCTGGTCGTCGCACTGCATCTCCTCGTGGGTCTCCTGCAGCTCCGCTTGGCGGCCTGCTCCTCCGTTCCAGCAGGCGCTGCCCCTGGGCCCTGCTGGTCCTGCCGCCGGGGTCGGCCCGCGCCTCGGGCCGTTGGGCCCTGGGGAGCTCCCCTCCTCCTCCTTCCTCCCCCCTCCTCCCTCCTCTCCCTCCTCCCTCCTCCTCCTCCTCCCTCCTCCCTCTCCCCTTCCTCCCTCCTCCCTCCTCCCTCTCCCTCCTCCCCTCCCTCCTCTCCTCCTCCTCCTCCTCCTCCTCCTCCTCCTCCCTCCTCCTCCTCCTCCTCCTCCCCTCCTCTCCTCCCTCCTCCCTCCTCCTCCTCTCCTCCTCCTCCTCCTCCTCCTCCTCCTCCTCCTCCTCCTTCCTCCTCCTCCCTCCTCCTCCTCTCTCCTCCTCCTCCTCCCCCTCCTCCTCCTCCTCCTCCTCCTCCTCCTCCTCCTCCTCCTCTGGGGGCCGCCAGCTTGCGGGCCCACCTCTGCTCCTGCGCGCCCTCGAGCTCGATGGCAAGGCCGCAGTGGACCTTCCACGGCCCCCCTTCAGACGGCGCTGACCCTCACGTTCCGCGCGAAGCCGGCCCTCGCCGCGCAGCAGTCGATCCTCGTGCCCGCCCCCTCGGTGCACGTGGTGGCCGTCCCGCTCGGCACTACAGTCAGCGCGCCTAGTAAGGACGCGCGCCTTCATCTAGGATGCCCTTGGGTCCTTGCCTCTGTGGCCCGTCCTTTGCCGTTTTCACTGGTCGCCGCCGCCCAAAAAATCCCAGCTTCAGCCTCCAAGGGTCTTGCGTCCTTACCACGCGTCCTTGATATACGTTTTGACTGTAGGATCTCGCCGTCAACCCTGGCGGGGGAACCCAGCTTCCTCAACTGGGTCGGCTCGAGGTTCCAGTCCGCGGCCACCACCCACGGAGCCTCGATGGCCTTGAGGAAGGCCCCCCAGCGCCGCCAGCTTGCTCTGGCCGGCGGAGCTCGGTCCCCGCGTCGGCGCCACGTGCGCACTCGCGCAGGCGCGGCGGCCCGCCTTCGTGTGGGTCGTGGCCGCGGAGGAGCCGCGGAAAGGGGTCCCCTCCCCCTTGAAGCTTGGCCGCCTGCCTGACGTGGTCGAAGCAGGTCGTGGCGAGCGCGCGCTTGGCAGCGACCAGCCCTCCCCCGCTGGTGCCCACCCGCGCTCCTGCCCGTGGCCAGGGCCGCCGTGTGCCTGCCCTCCCAGCCGCCCTTGCTCAGATCGCCGAGGAGCTCCGGCGTGATGGCGTCCGAGGCGTGGGCCTCGCAGAGCCCGACAGTGCCGAAGCGCTCGCCATCGGAGTATATAATTCGCTGATGGGCTGTACCCGTGGGCCTGGGGCCCCCACTGCTCCGAGTTCGCGAAGAAGATGCGCGCTGCGCTGGGCACGCTGCCCGCGCGGCACGCTGGCCTGGGCGGCGCCCTGGCCACCGCCCCTGGCGCCAGCACGGGAGCAGCATCAGCGGCGCCGCCCGCAGCATCCGCGCCGCGCTTTTGGGCGTACTCCTGCTTCGCCCGCTCGCGGAAGGCCGCGAGTTCCTGCTCGCGCTTCTGGATCTCCCCAGGGGAGGCGCTGGCCGCCGGGGGCGGTCGAGCCCCTCCGAGCCCAGGCCGCCGCACCTGTGGCGTCGGCGCCGCCGGCCTCTCCCTTCGCCGCCGCCGCGCCCTCCCCGTCGACCCTGCGCTTCTCCTGGAGCGCGGGGGTGCGCGCGCGTGCGCGCCTGCTCCGCGTGCTCCGGCAGCATCTTCTGGCGGGCCTCCGCCTGGGCGAGGAGCCTGGCGTCGGTCTCGCGGTGCCGCTGGGCCGGCTCGGCAGCGGCCTTCTCCATGGCCGCCTGCTCGAGCTGGCGCGCCGCCGGGGCCTCTCGGCCCTGCCTCTGCGCCTCGCGGACCCGGCCCCTGAGCCTGCGGCTCTCGTCCTTGATGGGGCCGTCCTCGTGCTCCTCGAGGTCACCCTGCGGGACCTCCGCGCACGCGAAGTCGAGCACAGTCCCCCCTTGACTGTCCTCTCCCTCGTCCTTGTCGTTGTAGTGGCGCTGCTTGGCCTCCCCCAGCTCCTTGGAGACGGCCAGCGCCTGCTCCAGCACCTCCTCGTAGTGCTGCTCTGCCGCCGCCCTGGCCGCCTCCGTCTCGTGCACGGCGCTCTGGGCCTGGTCGAGGATCTCCTGCTGGTGCGCGTGGCGCCCCTGAGCCGACAGCAGGCGCTGCCAGACGGCCTTGGGCGGCGGCTGCGGCGCGGCCTCCGCCTCCTCCTGCTTGGCCTGCTTGACGAGCTCCATGATCTTGTCTCCGTAGCTGGCATTATTGGCCGAGAATTCCAGGCACGCCTTCGTGGTGAAGCCCCACTTTGCCTCGGAGGGCGTGGGCCCACTCCACCACGGCGGTGTCGACGCCGGCTGCTGCCCACCGCCTGGCTGCGAGTGGCCGTGCCTCGGCCACTCCCCGCAGCGGCGCCAGCCCCGCGCCCACTCGAGCTTGCCCACGTACTTCCAGCCTCTGCAGCTGCCGCACACCACACACCGCCCACTCTTCTGGCCACTGCCTCCCATCGATTGTGCAAGAATCCTCCTCCTCCTCCTCCTCCTCCTCCTCTTCCCTCCTCCTCCTCCTCCCTCCTCCTCCTCCCTCCTCCTCCTCCCCTCCCTCCTCCTCCTCCTCCTCCTCCTCCTCCTCCTCCTCCTCCTCCGCCCTCCTCCTCCGCCTCGAGGAGGGGGCGCTGAACAGGCTCTGCACGCCGGCGCAGGCTCCTCGCCCGAGGCGGGCCAGGTCGAGAGACGGAGGCCGGCCGCGGGCCAGCGGTCTCCGCTCTCTCCCGAGGGGAAGCATGAGCCTTGAGCCAAAATGGCTACGGAGGAGGAGGAGGAGGCGGAGGAGGAGGAGGAGGAGTAGGAGGCGCAGGAGGAGGCGGAGGAGGAGGAGCCCGATGTTGAGGCTGAGGTTGAGGTCGGGGAGGAGGAGGAGGCGGAGGAGGAGGAGCCTGAGGTTGAGGTTGAGGTTGAGGTTTGGGGGGAGGAGGAGGAGGAGGAGGAGGAGGAGGAGGAGGAGGAGGAGGAGGAGGAGGAGGAGGAGGAGGAGGGAGGAGGAGGAGGAGGAGGAGGAGGAAGGCGGAGGAGGCGGTGGAGGAGGAGGAGGAGGAGGAGGCGGAGGCGGAGGAGGAGGCGGAGGAGGAGGAGGATGAGGAGGAGGAGGAGGCGGAGGAGGAGGACCAGTGTCAACCCAAGAGCCATCAACGATGTTGGAATTGACCCGCCCTTGAAGCTCCCCCTCCACAGGCCCCTGCAGCGGTTCATTTTCATTGAGTGAACTGCCTCATTGGAAGACAACTGTTTGAAGTCCCTGCAGCATGCTAAAACATTGTTCTCGGGATTACAGCGCCACATATCAACCTGACTGTTGCGTCTTGAAAATCCTGACTTGTGCCAGAACGCCATTCTTGGAATTTCAACACCGCGAAGCAAATAACTGTTGCACCTGGGTAATCATGAATCCTTCGAGAAGAATGTCTGGCACGATGATCATGGGAACCCGAGAAACTCTTGCAGTCTTTAAAAACGAATGTGCGCGGCGCTGAGGCGAGAGCCACAGTTTGAAATGAGCCGCCCTCAATCCGTGAAACTTTTGCACACGTGTAAAGCGAATGTGCGACGCGCTAAGGCGAGAGCCAGATTTTGAAAACCACCCGCCTTCAATCCGTGAAGCCCTTGCGATTTGTACAACGAATGCGCGCGGCGCTACGGCGAGAGCCACATGTTGAAAACCACCCGCCTTCAGTCCGTGAAGCCCGTGCAACTTTTTAAAACGAATGTGCGCGGCGCTAAGTCGAGAGCTGCATGTTGAAAACCACCCGCCCCCAATCCGTGAAACTGTTGCCACTCTTTATGTTACAGAATCATAAGCGGTGAGGAAGTCTCAGGCGAAACGCCCGACCCGCCCTAACAACTGGCCTCGGGGTGCGACAATGAGTAAGTTGTTTATAAGGACAAGAATGGATGAGGAGGAGGAAGAGGAGGAGACGCGGAGGATACTCTTCCTGGCCTGGGCATAGCTGGATATCCTTCTCTTTTCCAGCGCACGCGAAGCGGCGCCCAGAGGCTTTGGCTGGGTGCCGCCGTCGCCCGATCCTGGGCGGGCTGGAGGACTGCGAGGCGCGGCCCTGGCCTGCCCCCCCAGGAGTCATGCCGTAGGAAAGGAGGAGGAGGAGGAGGAGGAGGAGGAGGAGGAGGAGGAGGAGGAGGAGGAGGAGGAGGAGGGGGTTGAGGGTTGAGGTTGGGGAGGAGGAGGAGGAGGAGGAGGAGGAGGAGGAGGAGGAGGAGGAAGAGGAGGAGGAGGAGGAGGATGAGGAGGAGTTGAGTTGAGGTTGAGGAGGTTGAGGTTGGGGAGGAGGAGGAGGAGAGGCGGAGATGGAGGATGAGGAGGAGGAGGAGGAGGAGGAGGACCAGGAGGACCAGTGTCAACCCAAGAGCCATCAACGATGTTGGAATTCACCCGCCCTTCAAGCTCCCTCTTCATAGACCCCTGCAGCGGTTCATTTTCATTGAGTAAACTGCCTCATTGGAAGACAACCGTTTGAGGATCTTGAAGCAGAAGGAGGAGGAGGAGGAGAAGGAGGAGGAGGAGGAGTTGAGGTTGAGGTTGAGGTTGAGGTTGAGGTTCGGGGAGGAGGAGGAGGAGGAGGAGGAGGAGGAGGTTGAGGTTGAGGTTGGGGTGGAGGAGGAGGGGGAAAGGAGGAGGAGGAGGAGGGGAGGAGGTTGAGGTTGAGGTCGGGGAGGCGGAGGAGGAGGAGGAGGAGGAGGAGGGGAGGAGGAGGAGGAGTTGAGCTTGAGGTTGAGGTCGAGGAGGAGGAGGAGGAGGAGGAGGAGGAGGAGGAGGAGGAGGAAGAGAGGAGGAGGAGGAGGAGGAGGAGGAGGAGGAGGTGGAGGAGGAGGAGAGCGGGAGCAGGAGGCTTCCAGAGACCTCCGAGAGGCCTCCAGGACCCCCCAGAGGCCCCCAACACACCCCTGTTCCCTGAGAGGCGCCAGCAAGATCCCGACGAGGCTCCAAGAACAGCCCAAGAGAGCTGCGAGAGCCGTTCCGAGAGAGCCCAAAGACGGTAGAATCAATCCCAATGGTTTTTCTCATGTTTTTCGCCTTCTCACGTTTTCCCGCTTCCAACACTCGAAGATCGATGTTTCTTTCCGAAAAAAAAGGGAATTCCCAGAATCCCTTTTTTAAAAAAGTGGAACTCCTACTCGGGGGTCCTACACATCCCCTGACATCTGGCCAGTAATACCGCGCCTCCTGTCTCAAGGCCAGCCCAAGACGACCCCAAGGAGCCCCCAGAACGTAAAGAAAGGCCCAACACGCTCCCGCGCAGCCCGAGACATCCTTCCGACGGCTCTCCAGGTCTCCAGGAGGCGTCCAGAACCCCCAGCGGGTCCGGAAGATCCCACACCCCTGAGGGGCCCGGCTAACAAAACCCGCGAGGCACAAACAAAAAACATCGCCGAACAGCGCCGAGGAATTGGAAAAACATGGAAATCCCGCAATTCTTTTTTTTCTCCAAGTTTGGCCCCCGGTCTACTCTTGCACAACAGACCGCAATTCAGACCCCCCTCACCTCCTCAAAAAGAACCCAGGAAGCCTTTGAGGGCCCCAAATCGTTGAATACCTACGAAGGAAGTCAATGATTTCTGCGTTTCCGCACTTACCCTTCTATACGGTTCAGAGGCTTGCGCAGGGCCTCCAAGGGAGGCCTTGGACGCAAGAAGCGACCAACATGATATTACATGAATTAGCCTATCAAGCCTAGCTAGAACTTGAGCGCGCGCGAAGCGCGCGCGATGGTTCTAGTGCGTGTGTATATATATATATATATATATATATATATAGGTATTGGCGGCCCCACCACATGATCATACACATTCGTCTCTACCACGGCCGCCGATCGATATCTCCACTCTCCGTTTCCTCCCCCTCCGCCTCCCCCTCCATCCCTTCCTCCTCGGAATCAGCGAAAACACGAACACCACAGAACAACCAAAAAACAACCAAAAGCAAACACAAACGACAAACACATAACCTCAGGAAGTCAACAACAAATCCAGACACTTCAGACAACCCACGCAACAAAATAAACCAACACAAACACCCAGGCACAACAACATAGGAATTCTGGAAAACCTTGGCCGCCCCTCTATTATATATGTAAGTACATAGATATGTATGCATGTATGTTTGTATTTTTGTATGCATGTATGCATGTGCGTATACATGTATGCATGCATGCACGAATGAATGTATGTATGTGTATGTATGTATGTATGCAGGCATGCATGCATGTATGTATATGTCTATGTATGTATATGTACTTATTTCTGTATGCTTGTATGGGTTGTAATGTAAGATACGTGCAGGTAGGTGTCTACATATGTATGTATTGATGCATGTATGTATGTATGCATGCATGCATGCATGTATGCACGCATTCATGTGTGCATATATACACTTGTACATTGTATACATATGTATACGTATATACTTATAGGTAAGCGCATACTTATATGCATACACATATATATATAGATATACACAAGTGGCACGTGTGTGCCCAGGCTTATGCAACAACACGCCGAAAGGGCGTTTGAAGCAGGAAGGCACCATGACTGCAGGATCGGAGATGGAGAATGGGGAAGCTGGGGCGGCGCCGCCAGGTCGTGCCTGAGAGAAGGGGAAGAGGCAGGAGGTGAACGCAGAATTATCTAAGGTCGAGGTCGCACTCGAGGGCAAGTGGGGTTGCCACACCTTGCGATGTGTGTACCAGGGCCCCCCAGGAAACCTCAGGAGGCCCGACTTGGATACCAGAAGAGGCGCCGGGAGGCCCTGGGATTGTGAGTGTTGTGTGTGTGTGATGTGTGCTCTGTGTTGTGCGTGTTTTCTGTGCGTTGTAGGTGTTGTGTGTGTGTGTGTGTGTGTGTGTTATGTTTGTCTAGCGTGTGATGTGTTGGGTGTGATTCGTGTCTCTGTGTGTGCATGTAGTTCTGAGGCCCCAGGAGGCCCCAGGCGGCCTCAGGAGGCCCCAGAAGACCCCAGGAGGCTCCAGGAGGCCCCAAGAGGCTCCAGGAGGCCGCAGGAGGCCCCAGGAGGTTCCAGGAGACCACCAGGAGGCTCCGAGGCGGGGTCTGCGGTACCAGAAGGTACAGAAAGCCCCAGGAGGCCCCAGGAGGTTCCAGGAGGCTCCCAAGAGGCTCCGAGGCGGGGTCTGGGGTACCAGAAGGTACGTCGGGGCTCGGTTTTGGGAGGATGTCTCAGGCGAAATCGCCATTCTCTGAGAATCGGGGTCGCAAACATTGAAATCACAATGTGTTTTTGAAGGTTCTATGTTAGAATGTTGAAATTCACATGTGTTTTTGGACCCTGACGTCACGATCTGCGTGAGGGGTGCCACCGTTTTTCAGAATTTCGAGGATGTCCCGGGCGAAGCGGCCACACAAATCGCGGACGCGTGCGCATTAATCGCCTCTGAGCTCTACTCCCTCGGAGAGGTGCGCATGAGAGCACATCCTTATATATATATATATATACACATATATATACACATACATGTATATATATAGTATATATATACATACATACATCCATACTTACATACATACATACATACATACATACATACATACATACATACATACATACACACAAACACACATACATACATACATACATACATACATACATACATACATACATACATACATACATACATATGAACATATATATGTATATATATATATATATTATACGTATATATTTACATATATACATACATGTATACGCAACTGTGCCTCCGGGCACGGATTGGGCGTGCCCTCAGATCCTGGGCCCAGTCTTCTGAGCCTCAGTCCTCGCGCCCGAGGGGGCCTCTGCAGGGGCACGGGCCCCAGACTCGCAGCTCTCCCGGGGCTCGGCGCGTGCCCTACGACGGGGCTCGCTCCGTGCCCCCCGCGGCTCCGGGAGGTGCCGTCGGAGCCCCAGGACGGGCCAAGAGGGCCCCAAGAGGCCCCCCAAGGCGGTCCAAGACGCCTCGAGAGGGCTCCAAGGGGCCCCAAGGAGCCCCCCAAAGGGCCCCAAGAGGGCCCAAAAAGAGGCCCCCGAGGTGGCCCGAGAGGCCTCCGAGACGTCCAAAGAGGCCTCCAAGAGGCCTTCCAAGGGGGGCCCCAAGAGGCCAACAGCATGGACATTCGACAGGCTTTCCGCGGATTTTGGCGTTCTCGCCTTTTCGGCATCCTGACGCTCCGAGGCGGCCCTAGAGGCCCCCAAACCGCCCCAAGACGGCCCAAGAGGCCTCCAAGAGGGCCCCAATACGGCCCAAGAGGGCCCCAAGACGGCCCAGAGGTGCCCACAATTGCCCAAGTGAGTTCCAAGACGGCCCTAAAAGGAGCCCAAGAGAGGGAACACAAACTGAAAATCCGAGCCTTCCGCCCCAAGAGGCCCCCAGGAGGCCCCAAGAGGCGCCCAGGAGGCCCCACGATGCCCCCAAGAGGCCCCGAAGAGGCCCCAAGAGGCCCCCAAGAGGCACAAAAGAGGCCACTGCCTCCATAGGCCCCCGAGAGGACTCCCACGAGACACGGTACGGTGGCGGGATGGGCCGAAGGCCATTCGACCCCTCCCTTTAGGGCTTCGCCCACACCAGAACGTCATCACTCGTACCTCGCTCTTTCCGATATCTGTTAGACTAACACCGCTCACTGGAGTGGAGCTTTTTCTGGCGACATCGGGCGCGCAGCGCCACTGTGCCGCAAGCTGAGGCTCTCCGCCCCGCCGGCAGGCCAGCGACGCACACCGGGCCTGGCAGGGTACCTGGGAGGGTGGGGCCCGAAGAAGCTCGAGTCCATGCCGGCCGCGGAGGGCACGCGGGAGCGAGGCGGCCCCACCCGCACCCGGACACCCCGCTAATGCCTTACGTTGTAGGTTGCGCTCGAATTCCCACGTTTCAGAGGGGTCGTGTCTGGCAGACCGCGACGGTGTGTGTGTGTGTGTGTGTGTATATATATATATATATGTAGCCCGTACATCTACACACATAGGTGTATAGCTCACACCCTCAAGATATCAGAAACCTTTTTCTGGAGAGATCAGGCGCGCAGCGTCAGTGCGCCGCAGGCTGCGGCGCGGCTCTCTGCCCCGCCAGCAGGCGGGCAAACAACGTCGGGCCTGGGCGGGTACCTAGGAGTGTGAGGTCCGAACAAGCTTGAGCCCAAGTGGGCCGCGGAGGGATCGAGGGAAGGAGACGGCCCCACCCACACCCAAGCACCACCCTCTAAATCCTAACGTTCTATGGTGCGTTCAGACTCCCAATGTGTGATGGGGTCGTGCCTTGCAAACCGCGAAGCGGTGTGTGTGTGTGTGGTCTCCCTCCTGCATGCTGGCACAACTCGCTACAAGGGTATCCCCGTTTAGGTAGCCCTCCGCAGGCGCAGTTACCCTGCCTAGCCGCCGACGCAATAGTGTGTGTGTGTGTGTGTGTGTGTGTGTGTGTGTGTGTGTGTGTGTGCGTGCGCGTTCGCGCGTGCGTGCGTGCGTGCGTGCGTGCGTGCGT